GGGCCTAGATCCTTCTTCAGAAAGGGTCTAGTCCCGAAACGTCAGCCTTCCTGCTCCTCTGATGCTGCTTGGCCTGCTATGTTCATCCAGCTCTACACCTTGTTATCCATATTGAACTGACAGGTACAAAAAAGTCTAGGTGCCATTGAATTAACAAAACTTCAGAGAAGTTGCTTTTATTTAGCAATGTTTAAACCTAACAAGGAAAATCATGTACACCAAGATTGCATACATTTTTGTAAAGGACCCCAACATGACAAATAATTCTTTTGAAACATTGTTTAATTATGAGCATAAGAATGGAAAATTAACCCATTGCAAGGTGAAAATTTAGATCAATCTGTATTGAAAGTATAGCTATGGTGATTTATAAGAACAATTTATTACTTCCACTAAACAGTTATTCCTAATCCATTAGTAACTTGGGACTTCCAGATAAATACTGACTGGATATTTGCTGTTTGAAAGTTATTTTGAATGCGTCCAGCCCTCATGTACATTGAGGTATCATTCCTGGGTGCACATGTGTAAATCAACTTTACAAAATCATTACTATTTCACATGTCCTAAGAATGAGTTCATTACTATTGCTGCTGTGTCCAGTTTGTTTGGTAGCTACTATAAACCATATAATTATAAGATAAAATGCATTAATTAAACAATATTCAATCATTTCAAACTTTTAGAAAGTTTACAGTTTTGCTCCATTAAAAGTTTATTAAAAACAAAATGTGGAAGCCGATGCAGGATACTATGACGCCTTGGTCACTTATCTGCTTTCTATTATTTACCCTGTTATATACACACACCTAGACACACTTACCTGTCATTACAGACCATACAAGGTATTAGCATGTTTCTGTTGTAGTGTTCATGTACATTCCCCAGATTATAAATCTTCTGATTACAGGAACTTGGAGACATAGAGGCTACTCAAAGACTGTTTGTGGCATTTGGTAAGAAGTGATGTATTTTCTCTCCTGTTTTGTCTGACGTAATTTCACTGTATCGTACACCTTCTCCACTGAAAAAGCACAGTTTAGTGTCTCCAAGATCAATTACCTTAATTATGGGCTCCCAATGAGTTACTCTAGTTTCCCACCAACACCTACAGACATCACCCCAATCAAAGACTCAATTTACAACTCTGACTGAATGCTCCAGTCTTGGATGCTTCTGATTGGAACAAAGAGCTGAACAGCAGTCCATAGGTACTGTAAGGCAACAGCAAAAGTACTGCACCATGGAGTCAGAATTCCATCCATCCTTTTGGCCATAGGGTGAAGCAAGATGTCTTCTACAACAAAACTTTTAGACAACTACTTTATGTTAAAAATCTAATTGAGAAAAGCAATTAGATACTCAGTATGTGGAATCCAATGTGTAACCAAAAATTCACTGATTTGATATGTTCCATTGTCTGTTAGTATTTAAGCCATATAGAAGCAATGCATATGTTATTGTTAAAAATAAGACAAGGAATTGCCCACTATTGAAGAGACTCGTGAATAAGCTTTTTAAGATTTTAGTCCTCACCGACTACCTAGATCATAATTTTAAAACCACAACATGAAATTTAATTTTTTTAAGCTATCTATTGAAACAAAAATCACTTAACAAATTCAACTGGAATGCTCATAAAGTTGATATGGAGACATCTTCCAAGCATCTTCAGCAATCATTGATAAGTATACCATGCATACCACTTACTACACTAGAAGTTCAAATTTTATTCGAACATGAATGAATCATAATGACAATGTTACAGAAGCTTTATTACAGATGAGTTTTAACTTAGACTTTAAGTAATATACGGACTTCCCATCTGTGAATGGGAAGGTGCAAGTTACTTTTTTTGGAATACACAAGATACTTCATCAAAGACCAACTGAAAACAATTTACCCCTTTACTGAGTGTTACCAACTGACAATTGCATTTTGTCAAGGAAACTATTTCTCTTACATTAGTCTCAAATCACATGCAATCTGACTATGTAACATACTGTTTATTCTTTCAACTCCACCTGTCGTCCCTGATTATTTGGAGCATCAAGAGAGAAAGAAAATCAGACTCAAATTAGAATGTCGACGAGTCATTGCCAAAACTGGATTTGAATCCATGTTCAACCATAAACCCTATGTTTTGCCAGAACTCCCTTCCCCATAAATATAACCAGGGACAGGATCAGAATATTATCTGCAAGTACAGTATACCAACTATCAAGAGAAACCCAAATAATATTTTAACAAAGGAGTGTTAATATACCAGTATACATAGCATCTGGTTCATTATAAAGCTTACAATTTCTTGCAGAAATACACCAGTGAATTTAGAATTACCCCATGAAAATTAAAGTACAACATTATTGATCAGTAAATTAAGTTTTCTTCTTCAAGTCCTCAAATCTACGAGACAGATCATCAAAATCAATATCTTCTGAAGCTGTGGAAGTGCCACCGACAGATGCTGTTGGTAGGGTGTCAGGCACAGAGGGCAATTCGGGTATTGTCACGTTATCATAAACAAAGTTGCTTGGAGTAGCAGCAGGTCCTGGCAACTGTCGAGGTGCCGGTATTGGGACTGAAGGACCTACACAATACAAATAATAAAAAATTATGTATACAGTGCAGTGTCACATCAGCTAACATAAAATCACAAAAAATATTTTCAAAGTACATAAATGGATCAAATCAAAAATCTGTACTGACTTACCAGGAAGCTTGGGAGAAGGCAAATGAGTGTCAGTATTGTTGACATCATCTATCTGTTAAACAATATCAATTATCAGTAATATAATCAAGTCAATTTAACTATAGAAATGTCACTATGCAAGCTGTGAGATGGTATAAGAGAAGCATATGCTTTAGGAAGGTTTTGGCATTAATCCAATTCTGAAGTAGCCCAATTGAGGGTCTGGAATAAGCTGTTAATCGTAAGTAAGTCTAGATTGTTTCACTGGACTCAGTCAGAAGCATTTATCAAAAAAATCAATAATCTAAAGCAGACCTGATAATCTAATATCCAAGACAAGCTGTCCACACTACATCAAGGCAATGGCTCAAATATGAATGACCCAGTCTGAACTAACAGAACCTAGCAGGTTAGACCTCAGAGGCTGGAAGCTCTTCCCACTCAACTCTACATTATTCTTGAAGGTGATGCTGAACACATAGGCTGATTTCATTCAAGTAAGCACCAGTAATTCCGAACACAAAGAGGGACCTAAAACCTGTCTCTCCAAGTACATCACCTGATCTGGTTCCTACTGAACAGCCAACCCTTCATATCACCTTCAGTGCTCATGATCTTTGCTGATACAGTTAATAATTCTATATGAGAAAATAGGAAATACAAGAACAGAATATTTTCCAAAGGTGAGAGACTAAGCAAATGTTATTGTGCAGAGGGATTTCCGGGTATCTTTGGATCAAAGGAAGTCAACCAACAGGCAGTCTAAATAATTAGGAAGACAAATTACACCTTGGCCTTTGTTACATGAAGGCTCCAATGCAACAGCAGGAAAATTTTGCTGAGATCATCCCTTGAGCAGTTTTCAGTTTTTGTCCCTTTATTCAAGGAAGGATATTCTTGTCAGAGAGTGCAACAAAGATTCACTAGATTGATAATGAGATAACAAGGTGTAGAGTTGGATGAACACAGCAGGCCAAGCAACATGAGAGGAGCAGGAAGGCTGACGTTTCGGGCCTAGACCCTTCTTCAGAAATGGGGGAGGGGAAGAGGGTTCTGAAATAAATAGGGAGAGAGGGGGAGGCGGATAGAAGATGGATAGAGGAGAAGATAGGTGATGAGGAGACAAACAGGTCAAAGAGGCGGGGATGGAGCCAGTAAAGGTGAGTGTAGGTGGGGAGGTAGGGAGGAGATAGGTCAGTCCAGGGAGGATGGACAAGTCAAGGGGGCGGGATGAGGTGAGTAGGTAGGAGATGCGGGTGGGGCTTGAGGTGGGAGGAGGGGATAGGTGGGAGGAAGGACAGGTTAGGGAGGCGGGGACGAGCCGGGCTGGTTTTGGGATGCGGTAGCGGGAGGGGAGATTTTGAAGCTTGTGAAGTCCACATTGAAACCATTGGGTTGCAGGGTTCCCAAGCGGAATAGGAGTTGCTGTTCCTACAATCTTCGTTGTGGCACTGCAGGAGGCCCAGGATGGACATGTCGTCTGGGGAATGGGAGGGGGAGTTGAAATGGTTCGCGACTGGGAGGTGCAGTTGTTTAGTGCGAACTGAGCGTAGGTGTTCTGCAAAGCGGTCCCCAAGCCTCCGCTTGGTTTCCCTGATGTAGAGGAGGCCACAATGGGAACAGCAGATACAGTATACCACATTAGCAGATGTGCAGGTGAACGTCTGCTTGATGTGGGAAGTCTTCTTGGGGCCTGGGATGGGGGTGAGGGGGAGGTGTAGGGGCAGGTGTAGCACTTCCTGCGGTTGCAGGGAAAAGTGCCGGGTGAGGTGGGGCTGGAGGGGAGTGTGGAGCGGACAAGGGAGTCATGGAGAGAGTGGTCCCTCCAGAAAGCAGATAAGGGTGGGGAGGGAAAAATGTCTTTGGTGGTGGGGTTGGATTGCAGATGACGGAAGTGTCGGAGGATGATGCGTTGGATCCGGAGGTTGGTGGGGTGGTACGTGAAGACGAGGGGGATTCTGTTTTGGTTATTATTGCGGGGAGGGGGTGTGAGGGATGAGTTGCGGGAAATGCGGGAGACACGGTTGAGGGCGATCTCGACCACTGAGGGGGGGAAAAGTTGTGGTCCTTGAAAAACAAGGACATCTGAGATGTACGGGAGTGGAATGTCTCATCCTGGGAGCAGATGCGGTGGAGGCGAAGGAATTGGGAATAGGAGATGGCATTTTTGCAGGAAGGTGGGTGGGAGGAGGTGTATTCTAAGTAGCTGTGGGAGTCGGTGGGCTTGAAGTGGATATCGGTTTCTAGGTGGTTGCCTGAGATGGAGACAGAGAGGTCCAGGCAGGAGGGAGAGGTATTAGAGATGGTCCAGGTGAACTTAAGGTTGGGATGGAAGGTGTTGGTGAAGGGGATGAACTGTTTGAGCTCCTCGTGGGAGCACGAGGTGGCGCCGATACAGTCATCAATGTAACGGAGGAAGAGGTGGGGTTCAGGGCCAGTGTAGGTACGGAAGAGGGATTGTTCCACGTAACCTACAAAGAGGCAGGCACAGCTTGGGCCCATGTGGGTACCCATACCTCTCTCTCCTTCCTGGACCTCTCTGTCTCCATCTCCGGCAACACCTAGAAACCGATATCCATTTCAAGCCCACCAACTCCCACAGCTACCTAGAATACACCTCCTCCCACCCACCTTCCTGCAAAAATGCCATCTTTTCCCTCCCCACCCATACCTGCTTTCCGGAGGGACCACTCTCTCCGTGACTCCCTTGTCCGCTCCACACTCCCCTCCAGCTCCACCTCACCCGGCACTTTTCCCTGCAACCACAGGAAGTGCTACACCTGCCCCTACACCTCCCCCCTCAATCCCATCCCAGGCCCCAAGAACACTTTCTACATCAAGCAGATGTTCACCTGCACATCTGCTAATGTGGTATACTGCATCCGCTGTTCCCGTTGTGGCCTCCTCTACATCGGGGAAACCAAGCGGAGGCTTGAGGAACACTTTGCAGAACACCTACGCTCGGATCGCACTAAACAACTGCACCTCCCAGTCGCGAACCATTTCAACTCCCCCTCCCATTCCCCAGACGACATGTCCATCCTGGGCCTCCTGCAGTGCCACAATGATGCTACCCGAAGGTTGCAGGAACAGCAACTCATATTCCGCTTGGGAACCCTGCAGCCCAATGGTATCAATGTGGACTTCACAAGCTTCAAAATCTCCCCTCCCCCTACTGCATCCCAAAACCAGCCCAGCTCGTCCCCGCCTCCCTAACCTGTCCTTCCTCCCACCTATCCCCTCCTCCCACCTCAAGCCCCATCCCCATCTCCTACCTACTAACCTCATCCCACCCCCTTGACCTGTCCGTCCTCCCTGGACTGACCTATCTCCTCCCTACCACCCCACCTGCACTCACCTTTATTGGCTCCATCCCCGCCTCTTTGACCTGTTTGTCTCCTCATCACCTATCTTCTCCTCTATCCATCTTCTATCCGCCGCCGTCTCCCTATTTATTTCAGAACTCCCTTCCCCTCCCCCATTTCTGAAGAAGGGTCTAGGCCCGAAACGTCAGCCTTCCTGCTCCTCTGATGCTGCTTGGCCTGCTGTGTTCATCCAGCTCTCCACCTTGTTATCTCAGATTCTCCAGCATCTGCAGTTCCTACTATCTCTGAAACATTCACTAGATTGATTCCTGGGACTAGATGATTTTCTTATGTGGAGGGATTAAGCAGAATGGACCTATATCTTTTTAGATTTAGAACAGAGGTGAACTGAGTGAAACATCTGTTTTTGTTTGCTCAGAGATAGCAAGAACTGCAGATGCTAGAGTCAGAGACAACACAGTGTGGAGCTGGATGAACACAGCAGGTTAGGCAGTGTCAGAGGAGCAAGAAAGTTGACGTTTCAGGTCAGTACCCCTCCTCAGAACTGGGGAGGGGAAAGGGAGCTGGGGAAAGGTAGGTTGGATGGTGATAGGTGGATGCAGGTAGGAGGCAGTGGCGATTGGTCGGTGGGAAGGGTAGGGCGGATACGTGGGGAAGAGGATGGACAGGTTGTGTCAGGTCAAGAAGGTGGGGATGAGAGGGAGGGTTTGGTCATGGGATGATGCTGGGGGTGGAGAATTCTACGTTCAGGCCATTGGGCTGTGGGCTCGAGGCGGAATGAGGTGTTGCTCCTCCAGTTTGCGTGTGGCATCATTGTGACACTGGAGGAAGCCCAGGATGGACATGTCATCAAGGGAAGGGGAGAGGGAGTTAAAATGGTTGGTGACTGGAAGACGTTGTCAATTATCACATACAGAGCGCAGATGCTCCACGAAACAGTCCCGGAGTCTGCGCTTGGTCTTGCCGATTTAGAGGAGACCACATCGGGAGCAGCTGATGCAGTAGACCAGGTTTGGAGGATGTACAGCTGAATCCCTGAAGGATCTGAAAAGTTTGCTTTGGGCCTTGGATAGAGGTAAGGGGTGAAGTGTAGAGGCAGGTGTAGCACTTCCTGCGACTGCAGGGAAAGATCCCTGGTGTGGTGGGGTTAGTAGGGAGTGTGGAGTAGATGAGGGAGTCATGGAGTGAGCAGTCCTACGAAAGGCAGATAGGGGTGGGGAGGGAAATACCTCTTTGGTCATGAGGTCTGATTGTAGGTGGCAGAAGTGGAGGAGAATGATACACTGGATGCAGAGAATGATGGGATGGTATGTGAGGACCAGGGGGATTCTGTCTTTATTTTTGTTGGGGGGGAGGGGGTTTGAGGGCAGAAGTGCGGGAAATGCAAGAGATGCGGATAAGGCATTTTTGATCACCGGACGGAGGAAGTTGCAGTCCTCAAAATAGAAGGACATCTGGGATAAACTTTCAGCCACTTCTTTTTAAACATTTGGAATGATTCAGTGCTAGGGCTTTCTCTTCCTATGAGCCAATCTGGATTTTTCCTATATTAAAGGCCCCAATCGAACACAAGTTGTTAGAAAGTCGATATTAACTCATGAAAGAAATGAATGTTACTTCCATCAACTCATTAAACTCCTTGTCAACAGCAATTGCATAGAATTGCACAATATACAACACACAAATAGGTATTCAGCCCAAGTAGTCAGTCAGTGACAGTGATTATACTCCTTATTGGCCTTTTTTCTTCATTTAACCATAGTTTTGATTTTACACAAGGAAGCCATTTATTTCCTGATCATGTTAACACTAATGGGCTTTACAAAAAAAAAAGGCAAGCTTGTTAGTGAAATAATTTTCTACATTAAATACGTACATGCTCAAAAGGAATAATCAGTGAGACTACATTAAAACATGTCAGTATCTTGGCATACGCCCCAGAAGCATTGAGGTAGATTGAGAAGTGGTACTGACGCTGGACTAATACTCCAGAGACCCATGTTATGTTCTGGGACTCAGGTTCAAATCCCACCACAGCACACAGTGGAATTTCAATTCCCTGAAAATCTGGAATTAAAAGTTTAATGCTAACCATGAAACCACTGCATAAAAATAATCTGGTTTACCAATGTCCTTTAGGGAAGCAAGTGCCATCTTAATCTGGTCTGGTCTACATGTGATTGTGAACCCACTGCAATGTACTTGGATCTTCACTGCCTGCTGAAATGGCCAAACAAGTTACTCAGTCGTATCAACTACTAGAAAATCAAAAAACACAGTGGTACTGGACAGGTCATCTTGCAGCAACTTAGGCATTAGAAACAACAATGGCAAACACAGGCTTAGTGTCTGCAAAGAAACCCTCACTAACACCTGGGGTTAGAGCTAACATTGGGAGAGCAGTCTCAGACAAGTCATGCAAAAGTCTGACAGTCACACTCACAGAATCTTACCTTATACACAATGTCCCAGCCAATGCCATCAAGATTCCTGGGTATGTTCTGTGCCACAGGTAGGACAGACCCAGCGGCGTTGACAGTATAGAATTGACAGTGGGGTAGACAGAATTGCCCTGCAAGTCGCTAACATTGATTCTGGACCCTATGAAATCTTATGGCATTAGATCAAACATGGGCAAGGAAACCTCCTGTTGATTACCATATACCACACCCACTTAGCTAATGAATGAGTACTCCACCATGCTGAACACCACTTAGAGGAAGCACTGACAGTCGCAAGGAGAGAGAATGTACTCTAGGGTAGGGGACTTCAATGTCTACCACTATTACTGGCTGAGCTGGTCGAGTCTTAGACTCATAGAGATGTACAGCATGGAAACAGACCCTTTGGTCTAACTCGTCCATGCAGACCAGATATCCTAAATTAATCTAGTCCCATTTGCCGACATTTGGCCCGTATCCCTCTAAACTCTTCCTATTCATATACCCATCCTGTTGCCTTTTAAATGTTATAATTGTACCAGCCTCTACCACTTCCTCTGGCAGGTCATTCCATGCATGCACCACCCTCTGCATGAGAATGAGACTGTCACATGTCTCCTGCTGGAATGTGCCTTTGGAGAAAGATCGTGGTTTTTGTCAAGATTGGTCCCAAGCAGGTCCGTGACGCATGCCTGTGCACTGTGTGGTCTGTTCCCTGGAATACACACCAAGACAATCATCGACTGCACCTGGATGACCACCAACTCAGTGAAAGACGTTCTTTGGTCTTCCAGAACAAGGAGTTGACCCCGACTGAATGTTGCAGACTGGAACATTCCAAGGTCCAGGACTACGTGCTGGGGGACACACTGAAGCGTGGGGCAGCTACTACCGAGGTGCAGTGGGGAAGACCAATGTTGGAGGTCTTTCTGCTGAAGTTAAATGGTGGTCTGTTCAGTTATTGGACCCTCCCAGTGCATCAAATGCATAATATAATCTTGTACAAGTAGAAGATGCCTTTGGTTTATTCGTCAGATAGTCAAACTCCACGTTTGCTTGTTTTCTCATGCTACTGTACGGAACTGAACTGCGCTTGACTATATATACACACATATATACTTGATACTTTTGTGAATAACATATACTTTTTAAATCAAAAATTGACCAGAATGCAAACTAGTAATATAAATACTGTGGCTACAAAATCAAAGGCCATGAATACTGCAGTGAGCAACACCTGACTCCCCAAAGCCTGACCACCATTTACAAGGACAAGTTAGGAGTACCCGCCAGTTATCCGAGTACATGGCACTGCAACACTCAAGAAGCTTGACACAATCCAGGACAAAGCAGCTACTTGACTGGCACCACATTCACAAACATCCACTCCCTCCACAACCAACAGGCAATAGCAAGAGTGTGTACTATCTACAAGATACACTGCAGAAATTCACTAAAGATCCTTAGACAGCACCCTCCAAACTCTCAACCACTTCCATTTAGAAGGACAAGGGCAGCAGATGCATGGGAACACCACCTCCTGCAAGATCCCCTCCAAGCCACTCACCAACCTGACTTGGAAAACACATCATAGTTCTTTCACTGTCGCTTGATCAAAATCCTGGAATTCCTTCCCTTATAACATTGTGGGTCTACCCACACTGACATGAACTGCAGCGGTTCAAGAAGACAGTTCACCACCACTTTCTCAAGGGCAACTAGGGACAGGCAACAAATGCTGCTGCTTCAGTCACATCTTTCATCGAAAGACAAAACAGCTAGACTGTCTGCAGCAGTAGATGGGGGAACGAATAAGAGGGGAAAACATCAGTGACCTCATCCCTAATGACCTGCTGGCTGCAGACTATCTATGACCATATAGGCAAGAATGGCCACTCCCCTGTCCACATACAGATGAAGTCCAATCTTCACGTTGTGGGATAGACTTCAAATAGAGCTAGTAACTCAACACTGAGAATCCATAAGACACTGTGGACCGTCAGCAGTAGCAGATTTGCACTCCAACACAATGTGTAACTTCATGGAATGGCATATTTCCCACTCTACCAACACCATCAAGCCAGGGGATCAACAGTGTCAGTGAAGAGTGCAAGGGAGCATTCCAGGAGTAGCACCAGGTATATCTGAAATTAAGGTACAATAAAGCTGCAATAAAAAATTACTTGTGTGAGAAACAGCATACGCGGCAAGTGGCAGACAGAGCTAAGTGACTGCACAACCAACAGATTGATTCTAAACTATGTAAAACTGCCACATTCAGTCATGAGTGGTAGTGGACAACTGAACATCACATTGGAGGGAAAAGTTGCACAAACATCCCCATTCTCAATACAAGACAACAAGGTGCAGAGCTGGATGAACACAGCAGGCCAAGCAGCATCATA